TCCAACCGGTAGATTAGTCCTAAACTAATGGCAACATATAAGTTCTAATCTAAGTTGAATACGTACTAATAATGTATCGGAAGAATAATTAAGGTATTAAATTAGAAAGAGCAAAAAGAATATAATAATTAATGTTTGCTTAGAATTGAAGGTGACACATGGCAAAACTTTCCATAATTGTATCTTTCAAATGTATTATCTATAGATAGATAGATTGGTGTCATATGAAAGATAATAAAAAATAATGAATTTGATATATTTTTTATAAAAATTTAATTACAAATGAAAAAGTAATATCAATTTAAAAAATAGAGAGTTTTTTTATTGGAGTCCCATGAAGTGATACCTACTTGACGTAGAATTCTACTACTACGTAGTAATTAGAGTTTTTTTTTTTTGAAAATAGTAATTAGAGTTCTAATCTCACTTAACTCCTAAAGCAACGCACCGTAACCATTAATATATACTAAATTATAATTATAATATATACTAAATTAGAAAGAGAATTATAATTATAATATATACTAAATTAGAAAGAGAATCTAGCATATTATAATAAATGATTATTTAGAAGATGACACATGGCAAAAACTTTCCATAATTGTATCTCTCAAATGTATTATCTATAGATTAGAAAGAGAATCTAGCATATTATAATAAATGATTATTGAAATAATTACATTTATATGACCAAAATAAAGATGATTTACAAAAACATGATTAGTTACTAGAGTACTAATGAAATCTTAGTAATTCATGTTCAAGTTCTGAAGTTAAGTTACTGCAACACTATGTTGTAGTAATGAATAGTCATATTTATGTAATTAAGTTTTATTTTAGTAATATTGTTGTAAAAACCCCATGATTATTTAGAAGATGACATATGGCAAAAACTTTCCATAATTGTATCTCTCAAATGTATTATCTATAGATAAGGATATGTAATCTTCATAATAAATTATTGTGCATCCCACTTGATGTAAAAGCCTACGCTAAGATGTATAGCATTATTTGTTTTTTACATCATCGAATGATTATCTAAATAAACTCTATAATTTGTTGATGAAGTCGTTTTTTAATATTTTTATTTTATTCTTTTAATTTCCATATTTTATTGATTACATTATAAAATTATAGCTATATATACATACATGTACAAAATAATTATCACCCGTGCGGATGCACGGGTACTATACTAGTATATGCATAAAGGAGACTAGGAGAGGGTCTTTGATAAGCACGTCAAACAAAAGAGAAAAGAGGTTTATAACAAAATCATGTCATTTATATAGATATTTTATAAAGTTTTCTCTCTCTAGGGCATTCCGCCGCTAGGGTTACTTTCTTCCGCTATCGGTATCAACGAGGAGCGGCCGCCGATAAGGCGGATTGTTTTACTTGGCATTTGGGGCGAGGCTATTTTCTTCCTTGGCAAGTAGCGGTCGCGATGCAGTTGGGGAGCACCGGGCTTCGCAGACGGAGGGATATAGACGGGTTGGTTTCAGTAGACGGTGGGGGGCTTGGTTTTTCGATGGATGATATTGTACATCAATACAAACAGATGGCTATTGGAGAGGATAATGAGGAGTTGATCTTCGATGATGATGAAGATGAAGGGCTGTTAAATGTCCCACACCGGAAACATTTGGATGAACAAAGTGCTATATTAACACATGGGTTACTCCTCCTATCAGGTTGACCTTTTAGGATGGAACCTCGTGACTTAACATGGCATCAGAGCCAAATCGATACATGATGTGGGGCCCCTTATGAAAAATAATGACACGATTATAAAAAAACGGTCGGATGAAAAAAAATGAATGATTGCACGATCCAGAAGAAGTGTCTGGTCGTGAGGAGGGGTGTTAAATGTCCCACACCGGAAACATTTGGATGAACAAAGTGCTATATTAACACATGGGTTACTCCTCCTATCAGGTTGACCTTTTAGGATGGAACCCCGTGTCTTAACAAGGGCAGACGGCTAACGATGGGATGGTGATTTTCCCGGTGATTAGTATGGTTCTCACGGATCGGAAGATTAAATTTCAGATATTCAAGAAGCTGATGGCATCTCTGTGGAGGCAAGTCAAAGGTGTGTCCATTAAGGAAATTGATGAGAAAAGCTACATTTTTACTTTTTATCACAATTTCGATATGAGACGCGTGTTAGATGAAAGTCCTTGGTTGTTTGAAAGGAACCTATTGATACTAAATGAAATTAAGGCAGAGGATATCCCTCTTCAAATTAGTCTGTATGCGACCGAATTTTGGTTTCAGGTTCATAATATGGCGTATGGTTTCATGAATCTAGGATCTGCTAGGAAAATTGGTAACTATATTGGAAATTTTATTAGCTTTGATGACAGTCATCAGTTTGATGAAAAATGAGAGGTCTATATGCGCATTAGGGTCCGTATGGATATTAGGATACCCCTGAAAAAAGGAACGAAAAAGAGGGGGTATCAGCTCGTGGGTGGATTTCAAATATGAAAAGCTCCCAAATTTTTGCTTTATTTGTGGGATTATTGGGCATTCTGATAAGTTTTGTCCAATAGTATATGAGGGAGATAACATCACTTTTGCTAAAACTTATGGAGTTCAACTTAGAGCTGTGAGGGGGGGGGGGGAGACTAGTCCAACAGGAGGAAATAAGTGGCTAGTTGAAGGGTCCTCAAGTACAGGTATGGGAGTACTGCAACGAAGTGATAGTAAGGGAACAGGAGGGCAGGGCTGGAAGGAGGCTACTATAGGAACTGAAGATAGTTCTATTAAGGAAGGGAACTCGATGAGCCCAGAGGAGGTGTCGGGAGGGCAGAAGCGCAGAAGGATATGGAAAACAAAATAGTGCAGAATAGTGCAAATAGTGTCCAAACAGTATTCCTTCTTAGATTGTGTGCCAGCCAAACTATGCCTTTTATATAGGGACGGAGGGAGTACTATGTATACTTATATACCCCATCAAATTACAGCTTAGTTATTTTGCTTTTCTTGAATCTGATAATTTCTCCACTATGATAGAAATTGTGTTTAATGTCCTGAAATGGTGATTTAAAAAACTATATTTTCACTTCTATCTAAAAAAATGCTAAAAGGAGTGTTATCCATATCAACATAAGATAAAACACTAGTTAGCGCAAGTAGCAATGCGCTTAAAGTTTTTAGAACTCAACTAGATTTTTTTTATCGAAGAGAGCTTAAATTAATATAAAAGCATTCAGCAAGGGTACAAGATAACAAAAGGATCACATGTAATCATCCGCCCTTGGCCGAGACTCTGAGTTAATCACCTTTGACAAAGCAATATAACTCGTTAGACCTAACTTGGGAAACTTAAAGCCAATGACGATTACCGCATACCTCTCATTCCCCAAACCTAATGCAAGAGTCTTAAAATAAAGGGAAAAATAACAGTAAACTAGAACAGTCTGACCATTGAAAGAAAAATAAAGGCAAACAAATAATAAAAAACCAGTCTTCGTCTTCCAGAGCCTAGTTGCCAACTTTATTACCGGCGGGTCTAGGAAGATTGACCCGCCGCCTCCCCATTTTTTGGCCTGTCCAGTGTCATGCCCTCTCTAGTTGCATCTTCTCTAGCCTGGTCTTCCCAAATTCTCCTGCGTTTTGTCTCACCGGGCACCTCCTCCTTATCATCCTTCCCACCTTGCTGGGATACACTTGCACTTGTCTCTGCCGAGTATTCTCCCCCGAGATCAGTCTTCCGCTGTTGCCCAAATCCCCCGGAGCTTGAGGAATCATTCACTAGCCACTTATTAGTCCTAAGGGACTATTCTTCACCCCACCTCCAGCCCTAAGCTCCACCCCAAAGGATTTCTCTACCACAAAACTCTCTTCATACTTCAAGGGACATAATTTGTCCAAATGCCCAATTACCCCACACATGAAGCAGAAATTAGGCAGTTTTTCATAATTAAAATCTACCCCACACATAATTTTTCCTTCGTTAGAGTAGTACCTTTTTTAGGAGTTTTCGCACATCCATACAAACTCGTATACGCAGGTATGATTTCTGGTTGCCATCGAACTGACTCTTATCAAACCTAATGAAAGTACCCAAAAAGTTCCCAATTCTCCTGGCAAAAGTCAAATTTCTAAATTTATAGGGAACATTGTGAACTTGTACCCAAAATTCAGCCTCATACAAATTCATATTTTCAGGTATATCATCTGGCTTAACAGCTTTCAAAAGAACTAAGTCTCTTTCAAACAACCAAGGTCCATCTTCAAGTACACGATTCATATCCAACACATGATTAAATTCAAAAAGGTACCTTTTATCCCCAATTTACTTGATAGCTACACCTCTTCCTGCCCTCCATATTGAAGTTAACAGCTCCTGAAACCCCGAAAGTCTAACCTTCCGATCCGTGACCACAACCCCCACCACCGGGAACACCGTTGGCTCATCGACCGCCTCCAAGTCCCCCGTTTCCTCATCATCGAAATTGAGTTCATTGTTCTCCTCACCAATAACCACTTCTTGTAGTTATTAACAATATCCTCCATCTACCGAATCTTTCGCGTTGCAGACCGCTCCCTGCCCCTTCTTTCTCGAGCGGCGCCTGCACCGCTCCTGAAGAACGATAAGCCCCGCCTCGCTGGAAAATCTGCAGCAAAGCACCGCACGACCCCCTAACTTTCTCCCCAAAATCAAGCCGATCTTCGTCCACGGCGAAATCGAAAAAAGCCCCCAGCGGCGCAATGCCCTAGAGAGAGAAGTTTTTACACCTTGTTATTAAATAGTTATTTAATCATTTTAGAACAAAATTTAGTACCAAGTATTTAAGAGGTCAAAATAGAAAGCAATGGAATAATTCATAATTGTGCTCATCCATTTTTAATAGATGAACTCTTTTTATAATCCCAAAAATTAACTAAAATACTTCCTTATTTTTGTTACTTTACTAGAATGTAATTTTCTTATTGTTAGCATACAAAAAAAAAAAGAAATGTATTACTCTATTCATTTTCACAACTCATTAGTTTAACCTTTTTTTGTATAACTATTTTCTAAAAGAAGCGTGTCTCATTGTTGAATAATACACAAGATATATGACCGCAAATGTTATTGAGATGAACTTTTTGTAACAAAAATTATACGCAACATTGACATTTAACATTGATTCTCGTTTATTATCTATGATCTATCACATGTGCTTGAAAACTACGTAGTAAATAAACAAACAAACTGGTTCAATGCGCCTTCTGTTTGTTAAAAAGTAAACCCAAAGAGTAGGTGTTGCCTTTCTGGGCTGCAGCTTCTACACGCTTTGCTCCAATCTGCAAAAAAAAAAAAACGTTAAAAGACCATGCCAGCTCAGCAGCCATAGAGAGAAACACTGGAAGAGTAGATACAGTATAAGTCTACGATGGTAGAGATTAACTCATAAGAGAGTCCAACATAGTCATATCTCTTCTTATATCTTATGAACCCATTCTAGCTATTTACTCCATATAACATTATATAGTACGTAGTATTATAATACCTTGTCCATAAGCCAGTATCCAATTGTTGGAACATACTGTACTAAGTACATTACAGCAAGCACAGGCTGCAAGAACACAAGAGACATACAATGTTAGTGCGTTAGGTAGGTCTTCACAAACTACCCCGCCGGCTAGGGGTGACTAGACTTTCTTCCCCATAAATAGACCATAATCACAGCTGGGTGAAATTACTACCTGATATGATATCCAGGCTTCCTTGAGACCATGGCTGGCAGCAATTATGGTCAGTTCTGCACACCGTTCAGAGGAGACACGCTTCTGAAAGAGAACAATAAAAGAGAAGACACATTATTGAAAGCAATAAGTTAAAAGGATCACATGTCTCACACATCCGGAAACTGGGAAACTGATACTTTCTGCTCCATTTGGAGATGGGGGATTCATAAAAGAATTGAGAGGATTCATGATCCAAACAATCAGTAATGATGAAAAAAACGGAGGAACATGAACTTGCATGTCCTAGTGACTAGTTTTTAGTAGTATTTCTTACTCAAGCAATTGTCCTTTAGCTCACGTTTGAATTACCCAGTTTTTCATTAATACTAACTTCAAAGCTCCCAGTTGGACTCTTCAACAATGGGTTACAAGAAACAAGGAAATATTGAACATTAGCTTCGATTGTCAAGCCTACAAGAACAGTTCTTTTCAGGTTTAAGCAAGATATATGTAGTGACACCAGAGGTGTAGGTCCCAACACGGCCCGGTCCACCTCAAGCTTCATGTGTAATTTTTTGAGTAAAAAATTATCTGAATAAACTACTTTTCTAGGCTACCCCAAATTCAATATTTTGGGTCCTGGCTACAACACTGGTGAACATAACTTTGACCATACAGCATAACTAATCAAGAAGACAGTGGATCATAATTGTGTTTTGTTTATGTTTTATAGAAAAAGTCATTACCTCAGTGGCACCCCCTACTCTTAAGATGCTTGCTTCAGGAATCTCTGATGTTTTTACAGGTCCCGGGCAAACTATTGTAACCTTAATCCCTTTCGTACAAAGCTGCAATGAAATAAAACTAAAAAATAAACATGAAGAATACCAAGGAAGTGATACCAAAGCCGCACAGCCATAGTACTTATCCACATTAAATGTGTTGATGACTTGATGCGCACAAAAACATGGAACTATGATACAATAACATGGTACTGCTGGCATATGTTGGATTTTTTTATATTTTCTAGTATGAGTGTTGGCAAGGGACCAGTTTCCCAACCATTGGTGATTGGTCATACATGTTTATTGTTTTCTTACATACATATTCCTACCCATATATGATGCATAAGTCAAGTCAGCATACGTCAAGTAAATCTTAAGTGTAGAGTACTTTTTAGTTAGAAAAAAAGTCGACCAGACGAAGCATAGCCACCATACTGAACCGCATGTGAACTCGAAAGGGTACAGTGTTATTACTGGGACTCTTTGGATTACATGCTAGAAGCAATTAAAGATTACTGATAGAGGGAAGGGGCAATGGAATTTTAGGGAGTTTTCCTTCTCTTTTGGAATTTGGGGAGTTCTACACGTTTTCTTTTTATATCTTGCTTTGATGTTTCATATCTTGTCCCTTTTATTATAGGATTACATGCTCTGATGCTCAAAGTACTTAAAACAAAGGAGAAATCCTAGCAAATGACTTCCAATTAGATACACTAAAAGAGGTATTAAAATCAAATTGACAATAAAATCAAGTGAAAATTTTCGAAATAGGAGTAAAAATGTTTTGTAAATCCAAAATATGAGTAATATGTTTTTATTCCCTAAATAGGAGTAATGCCAAGCTTGGAGTATTCTGCCATGTTTAAAGCCTAGTAATGCCAAAACATGGATGTTAGAGAATAAAAACATAGTAGTCCTATTTTGGAATTCACAAACATTTTTAATCCTATTTAGGGCAATTTCTATACAATCAATGAACATATGAGCAAAAAATATCAACTATATCGCTCTCCTCAAATTTCCTACCAGATTGAGATTTGAGATTAAATTTAAATGGAGTTGAGTTGAACATACCTCAGAACGCAGCGTGTGAAAGTATCCATTTAATGCAAATTTGGAAGCCGAGTACACTGCTTGGCCTGGAGCAGGAGCCTTTCCAGCAGCACTGCTCATCTGCATATCATAAAACCACATTTCTTTGTTACTTCTATTTCAGCTAACCACAAATTATAAGCTGTAATACTACATATACAAGACAGCTCTTCAACATGAACCTACCTTTTTTCAAATGCAACCACATCATTAAAGCAATATAGGAATAATCACAAAAAATAAAAGTTAATTCAAAGTTCATGCCAAGTAACACACAAATCATAAAAGGGTCTCGTGAGATCAATGAAACACAATGTAGCAATTTAAAGAGATCACTATCACTTTAATATACGGAGTACTATCCAACCAACACTAATATAGAACTGCTGTACTAAAAGTCTAAAATATAGTCAACACAGCTACATCCTACTTAGAACTTACCACAACAAAATGTCCTCTTCCCCGCTTCAGCATGTATGGCGCCAACAATTGAGTCAAAGATATTGGGCCAAGAACATTCACATCAAAAGTGGCCTACTAACATAAAAGTAAAGACATGATTCCATAAATTGGTTTTAATGTCTTCTGAAGTCTGAACCACCTCAGAGCTTAAACATGGGATCACTCAGCATGAGAACATTGAACTTATGATAGTCAGGGTAGATGCAAGATTCTATATAGGAAAAAAGGAAACTTTCATACTAAGTGAGACCTTTTCAAGATTAATTGCATTCTTGTATCAGTTGTATGAATTTGACAACCAACCGCACAAACCCTGGCAATGAATTCTCAACAGCATCATGCTTTAAACTACCAATGACATAATACCTTGAGACTTTCTGCTGTGACATCCAGTGCTGTTGATTTCTGTAAACAAGAATTTGATTGTATTTACTCATCACCAATTAAAAAAATATATCAGTGCACCATGAACTATACTTGTTTTAGATGGTTGGGAATTGCATGAAAGTAAACTTGAGTTATAATCTAGACCATCCCCTTTCTACCCGCTTCTCCTTTCCTTATCGTATACAAGATGTGGAAAAACCTTTTTTTATTTTTATTTACAAAAGAGTCAGTTTGAAACTTTTAGTGCAGTAGTGCACCCCCTCAACAGTCTTTTTGGAGGGTGGGGGGAATATCCCTTCATCCTCTTTTTGCTCAAAAGTCCTCTCAACAGAATCATTTAATAGCTTCGTTAATCACAAAAGCTTGGCTGAATCATTCAACTAGCATCTATTATTGGAATAATTATTCACTTACAGGACGTTCATAAGCTGCATTATGGAACATATAATCCACACCCGATCCATCAAAAAAAGACTCAGCTTTCTCTACAGCCTTCCTAAGAACATCTTCACTTGCTGTCAAATCTAGGGGTAAAACTTCCACTTTATTCGGTGCATGTTTTCCTAGTTTGCATGACCACAAAAGTTTATGAAATAGAAAAATTAAAACTAAAAGCATCACACAAAACAGTTTTTACCGTCCTATACAGAAATACCTACCAGAAAGTTGCTGCCTCACACGCTGTAGTTCAGCCTCATTTCGTGCAGATAAAATAATTTTTGCCCCTAAGCTGGCAAGTTGCTTTGATAGGACCTCCCCTGTTGATTAGCAAAGAAACATGAGAGAATATTAATTCTTCATCATGACAGGAAGACATCAACTAATCAACAATTAATTAAACTATGGTAAACTTCATGGCATTATAAACGGAAAGTATCAGCCTACTGCCTACCTATTCCACGACTTGCTCCAGTAATCCAAATAACCTGCAAATTTTCGAGGTTAAGAAACGAGAGTAAGAAGACAACTAGCTATTTAGCAAATTATTAAAGCAGCAAACAATAAACAAACAAAGAAACAAAAAACTACAAATATACGTAGTACATATGAAGAAACAATAAACCTTGTCTTCGATTTCGTCACGCTTCACAGCCCCTTTTGAGATTAAAGTGAAATCCCCTGAAAACAACAACGAATTTTAAATAAACTGTAACTGGTAAATAAAGTCAAACGTTCGCGACATCAAATTGTTTCAAACTACTTGAGGATCAAATGTTGCAGCTTTATGCAACTAATGATATTGGACTGAGAAACGAATTAAATCGATGGATAATAATTATAATAATAATATGCTCCGCGAGTCGCGACAAAGACCATAGGAAGAAGAGGAAAGATGAATGCAGTACCATCGGAGGTGGTGAACTTGTACAAGGCGAACGCAGCAAAGCAAGCCAGGAGAATGCAAGTTTGGGACAGGATAAAAATTAGGCTCACCATTCTTCTCCACCTTTGATCCAGCCTTTTTTCAGTTCTTTGTTATACTTTTCAACTTGTAATGATGACTTTTCAGTTTCTAATTTCAAGAATCAAGAGCTACCAGGCACCAGTCTCTTTTGTGTAAATTGAGAGTTGCTACCAGTGTGGGTTAGATCTCGGGTTCGAATCCTGACAACTGCGATAAGAGGTTAATATGCTGAAAAATGTATAGGGCCTCTGCAAGTACCGGTGACGGAGCTCTACTCTCTATCGGTCAGGTTCTACTCTCTATCGGTCAGGTTGTGATTATAGTCCAACTTACATCCTCCCATCGTGCTATCCGGTCGGTGTTGGGGGCCCCTCAGGGATGGGGTGTCATCCTTTTTTTTTAAATTGAGAGTTACTTGTAGGCACTTTTATACTCACCATGTTTGTGAGGACATTTTTTTGTTTGTGAATCCGATTCACTGACAAATGAATTTGCATATACATATTTTGTCTGTGACCGGAATTCACAGGCAAAAATAAAACTCCTCACAAATATGGTGGGTACAAAAGTTGGTATAAGAGTGGGTACAAACAGTTTTTTGGTGTAAATTAAGGCTAGTTTTGAAATAATAACATATTTATGATTAAAATAAAAATTGTTTATAAAAATGTGATTAGAGACTAGAGTAGTAATGAAATTGTAATAAGTTGTGCTTATTTTCTAAACTTGAATTATCATGACACTATATCGTACTACCTCCGTCCCACTAAAATTGAGACAATTCGGTTTACAATGATTGTCCGAAGATAAAGCAAACAGATCCCTGCCTGCACTCAAAGTATTTTTGGAAAAAAAATTACATATTCAGAAACTACATTAAAAGCTTTACAAAGTCGCAAAAATCATAACCAAATTTGATAAAAATTTGATACATAAAATAAGAGATTAAGAGTGATTTGTGTTGACCAAGTGAATTGGAACTGGAACAATCTTAGTGAGACGGAGTGATTTATGTTGACCAGGTAATTATTAATAATATTTTTATTATATGTTTTTATTTTAGTAATATTTTTTATAAAATCCCTAATTTTTTGTCAGGGTTTTTTTTACAAAATAATGTTAAAGAAAATTTATTTTGAAGTGACAACTTTCCTTCAAACAGAATAGGGACGTTATCGCAGAGTGCCTATATGGTACAACCGGGTGTACGTACACCCAGTCCAATTAAGAAAGACAACCAAATACTAATATATGCCAAAAAAATTGGTGTCATTCTTGTAATTTAAGTGAAAAGTCACGGCCTCCACTAAAATGAGCAATAGTGTACTTTTAGTGAGCATTTGACCTGTTGTATTGAGTATTAGAAGGCTAACAATGAGTATCACAATCTCTGCTTCATATCTTCTAATTCTTTTTCTTATTTTTTCTTTATAAAAACTTATTAAATTATATCTATAATTCACTTCTATTAATTTCAATATGTGAGTCTAATGTAATATGATACTTTTGAAATATGACATTTAAAAATGAGCATAACATCAATACCAAATGAGCATACATAACTTGCAAACTGCACATTGATATGAAAATCGTAAAATTTGTTAATTGAACACCACGACATTTTAATTGAGCACAAACCTCCGCTATTGAGATGAAAATCGTGGTTTCTGTTGAGTGAGCATTAATGAACTTTTAATGAGCATCAGACCTATTATGTTGAGTATTAAGAGTCTAATACTTTGAATCGTGATCTCTGCTTTACAATTTGCAATTCACCTTCTTTTTGTTATTTTTTCTTTTATAAAAACTTATAGAATTATATTTATAATCAACTTCTATGAGTTTCAATATATGTGAATCTAATGTAAAATAGTACTTTTAAGCAATGCATTGATATGACATTTAGAAAATGAGTATAAGATCATAACCAGATGAGCATACGTAACTTACAAAATGTGCATTGATATGAAACATGCATATCAATGCACATTTCTTGTAAGCACTATACTCATTATTAAATTCTTTTAGTGCACATTTGCTTTATATATTAGAGTCCCGTTCTTGTCCAGCCGGCCTGACGAGATGCTCCGTCCGGACGAGGGCATTTCGGGCACTTCCCGGTGGACTTTTTTGATGAATTTTTTTGAGCAGGTTCTTCATGAAGTCTAGTTTATCCATACCAAATTTCAGCTAACAATTCAATCGGGAAGGCACTCAAATAATTTCTTGAAGTTAACTGGGCAGTTTATATGTACGAACTGCCCAGTTAACTTCAAGAAATTGTTTGAGTGCCTTCCCGATTGAATTTTTAGCTGAAATTTGGTATGGATAAACTAGACTTCATGAAGAACATGCTCAAAAAATTTCATCAAAACATTCTACCGGGAAGTGCCCGAAATGCCCTCGGCCGGACGGCGGTTCCCGTCAGGCCGGCTGGACATGAAGTTTTCTCTATATATTATACTCACTTAAGTATAACATCAGACTCATTTACTTTTGAAATATGCATTGATATGACATTTTAAAGATGAGCATAAATTAGTATCAATTTAGCATACATAACTTACAAAATGAACATTGATATGAAAAAAAAAGTTATTTTAGTTGAGCATCAAGGTATTTGCATCGAGCATTAAATCTCTTGTATATTGAGTATAGGAAATATGCAATTGAATATCATGGCCTGTGCTCTAGTATCTATAACCAAGTTCTGCGTAAATTTTATGTAATATGATACTTTTGAAGTATGCATTGATATAACATTTTAAAATAGGCATAACACCAGTATCAAATGCATGCGCATACATAACTTAGTAAATGAGCAATGGTATGAAAATCCTAATTTTTTTAGTTGAGGATCAAGATATTTCATTGAACATCAAACCTCTTCTATTGAGTATCAAAAACATGCAATTGAGTATCATGATCCTTGCTTCCATGCGAATCTATTTTGATACTTTTGAAATATGCATTAATATCATATTTTAAAATGAGCATAAAACAGGTATCAAATGAACATACATAACTTACCAAATGAGCATCGAAAAATTTAAAAGCTCGTTTGCATTCTCTAATGTGTTTAAATGTTTATTTGTGCACATATGTTATAATGACACATATAGTAATGACAAATATAGTTACAGAGTATTTTATATTAAAAATAATTTAGTGTTTCTTTCTGGAATTATAAATATAATCGGATTCTTTTTATATATAATGTTTACCCATGCATATTTATTTTACGCTATACTCATTTTAGCATAACACAAAACTCATGTTAGTAATTAGCAAATAATATTTAATAAACTAATAATTATTCATCTTAAACTAAAAATAAAAAATAAAACATTAATACCTTAAATATTTAATAAACTAATAAATATTCATCTTAAACTAAAGATAATAAATTAAAACATTAATACCTTAAATATACATCATAAATTAAAATCAATGGAAAAGGTGGTTAAGAAAAAAAGGAAAAAGAAATTAAAACAAAGAGCTACGTAAAAAGCAAAACAAAAAGTCAGGAGGAGAGCATAAGAAAAGTAAGAGACGGAAGAAGGCTAGAGAGCATATGCGTAGTGGACCGCGTACTTAGCTGGTAGGGAAAGAAATAAAGAAAGCGTATGAAGTATGAAAGGACGGACGAACCATGCAAATCATAAACAATTACAAAAATATCCGGATGTACGGTGAGCACTGTATATCCGGGTGTACGGTGTAATTTATCTGTAATCGCATGCGTGGGACAAAGAGGTCAAAATAGTTGGTGGGACCTAGGGTAAAAAAATATTACTGCGTATGTATCTCTTTCTTCTTTATATTACTACTAGATTTTTTACGCGCGTTGCACGATTCAGCTGATGCCCAAGATTATATATGTAATGTAAACATTAACATATTTTCTAGATTGACTTTTTTGACACTTCAATCGGTTGAATTATGTACACATGCACTTTGGAACATTTAAAAGTAAATTTAGGTATCATACTTTTGAAATAAAAATGACTAGACACATAAATACATACAAAGTATATTAAAAAGAGCATAGTTGTGGTAAACTATAACAACCAATTTTGGTAGATAGAAACAAAATTAAAGCATACTAACCGAAAGAGGTGCTTAAAACGCCGCTTACTAAACATACCGCCCTCATGTATTAATTAAGCGACACTTTAAGCTTTTTCGGTTTCCGAATTTACCCCTTGCTCTTACCATATTGTTACCCCTTTACCCGCTACCCAAAGCCCGCCCTACACTACTACCCCGACCCGACCCCGACCCCGACCCCGACCCTATCCACCATCCTCACCCTTACCCCTAACCACGACTCTACCCCACTCCCTACCACTTGCCCACTACCTTACCTTATCCTGACCCCACCCTACCCTATCATACCCAGCCCTTACCCCGACCCCACCCCACCCTATCATACCCAGCCCTTACCCCGACCTCACCCTACCCTACCCACCCTTAACCACCCTACCCTCAACCATAACCACACCCCACCATTACCCTCTTACCCTACCTCGTCCCTACCCTGACCTCACCTCTACGAGTAGGGTAGTTGTTAGGGGTATAGGAGTGGGAGAGATAGGGGTAGAGGGTAAGGTCATGGTAAGGGTAGGGGTAGGGGTCAAAGGTGTGGAATTGGGGTAGGGCAGGGGTAAGGGTGGGGGTACGGCGGGGTATAGGGCAGGGGTCAGGGGTATGAGTACACGTACGAGGTGACCCCACATATTATATTATATACTTGTAATCATGAATGTTTGCGTGTCTATATATGCATAGGGTTATTTTGGAGATTTTAATGTTAAACGGTGTTTTAAACCCCTTGAAGTAGACACGATCTCACAACACTGCTTATTTTATGTGCCGCTTATTAACGCGGGTCTTAATAAGCACCGCTTAGTAACCCGTGAAGTAAACGTGTCTTAAGTGTTGAAGACTAATAAACGAAGTTCCCAGCCACCGTGTGACTACGGATGTTTTCTTTTGGACTGTTTTCAGTCTCAGACCAGACTTAAACAGACCAGACCAAACCAGACTTAAACAGACCAGACCAGACCAGAATTTCTTAGTTATAAATACACAGAGACCAGACGTTTACCAGACCAGACCAGACCAGTTCAGACCAA